CACACACACACACACACACACACACACACACACACACACACACACACGCATGCACACGCATGCACACACGCAGTTTGGAAAATATCTAAATGTTGCAATACCCTCATCTCTAGTGTGTTACCTCCTGCGGCTATAGATCGTGACTTAACAGACATTTACTTAAATGAAAGTCATCAAGATTAACACTTAAATGTAGAAAACCAATCCTGAAATAGGTAAGTGTACAAAATCAATTCAACCCCAGGTGTTGATGTAACCTTTACCCATAAAGCATTGCTTCATTTCAACTAGTTTGAGACCATTCTCCACACTTTGATTGAAAATACAGACCAGGGATGATAATACCTTACACAATATAATATATATTATGTAATTAATATTCTTTGTGATCGAAAAAACTAGAATATGAAGTAACTGGTCAGCCTTAGTAAATACAGACGATGACAGGCTGCACATGAAGGCACCTGAGTCGTTGAGCAGTCTGAGGTCCGCCTGCGGTTGACTCCCCTGTGGTGTGTTCACTGCGATACGAACAGACAGCTTCCCGGAGACTTCGGCCAGTGTCTTCAGAACGGTCTCACCCTGTGAACACAGCAGAGAAAGATGACCTCACCGTTGAAGATGTCACAAGACTGGTACAACAGATATTTTGAGAGGTAAAACTCATCCTGAGGCTGACCTGATTGGCTGTCGGCTCATGAGTGCCTGTGTCTTCATTAGTGAGCGTCCAATAGAAGGAGGCGATGTCGATACTGCTGCGGGCCTCGCCCATCAGATTGAGCCAGGCCTGGAAGATGGTGGGGTGAGTGGTGCTGGAGTTAAACACCAGACCTTCAGGGATGCTCTCCACCACAACGATCCTGACGGGGGTGGGGGGGGGGGGAGAGACGGCTTGATAATAATGACTCATAATAGTTGTACTCCTGCTGGTTCTGCCTAGGACCATTAAACCGATCAGGTGGAAATAGACAGGCGAAGTCCCGCCCCTTCCGCTGTCGGAACTTATTTTGGAAGAAAATAAGTACTGTAGTCAACAAGACAAATATTATTTTAATCATGTTTGAATCGTGCCATAAAAGAGTTTGTCAATCTAAAAGATCATTTTTGCAGGTCAAGAAAGTCGCAGTTTGTTGTAGTAACATTTAATTTGTCGTCAAACCGTTCAGTGGACTACATCTCTTGTCTTGCACATAAGAAGTGGATGTAGCCACCGTGACGTTTTAAAGCCTCGAGTTTTAGCGATTTCGACGTCGACATCTTGGATTACGGCGTCGCCATTTTTTATTTGCAAACAATGAACAGAAGTGACCATATTTGGAAGGCGGAGGAGTGATGTAGTGACGTAGCATACGGTCTGGTAGCGGCAGAGACCTGTCAATCACAGCAGCCCCACCCTAAAGCATACTCTGCTTTATGGTCTGTTTGACTCTAAATGGATCATAAGTTACTAAATGAACATCATGCTGTATTGAAGAAGACTTGAAACTAGAGATTGAGACTCTAAACTCATGTTTACAATGTTTACTGAGGTAATAAATCAAGAGAGAAGTAGAGTTATTTTCTCATAGACTTCTATACGACCAGACTTCTTTTTACAACCAAAGGAGTCGCCCCCTGCTGGTCAGTAGAGAGAATGCAAGTTTTAAAACATTTCCGCATCGGCTTCACTCGTAGAACCGGAGGTTGCAGCCTGGTCTTCACAACCATGTACCGTATGTCACCGATGCCAACACGACCGCATCGTAGCTTCAGAGAGACGTCACTTACGGGTGTGTAGTCTTTCTAATACTGTGTTTGCAAAGTCTTATACTTACAGTTTTATGACAACATGCAACTTTTGGGACTTGCAAAATGATCTTTTAAAATCGTACATCGTACGTGTAAGTCATGGCACAATTCAAACGGGAAGGGGCGGGACTTGGCCTCCCCATTAGCTTCTGGCAGATATATTAAATGACACGTCAGCCGCTGAGTAGCAAGACATTGTAGTACAGAAATGTCAAAGATGTGTTCTACGTTTCAGGTCATTTAGAATCAGAGTCCCCTTCACATCGTTTGTCAGGATTGTTTTCAACAGTAAAATGTCTCAGGATTGACTAAATAATGTCCACTCAAGGTCCGCCTGCTTGTTTCTTGTGGAGCTTTGGATCTAACGGACTATAGAGTTTAACCGTTAAGTGCTTTGAATAGTGCTGATGTGATACACAGTTAGAGACACGAGAGCTGGATAAATGACTGTGTCCGTGTGTGTGTGTTTGTGTGTCGGTACTTACGTGCAGGGGTCTGAGCAGGACTCTCCTCGGGGCGGACGGAGGCTGCTGCTCGGTGCCGGACAGGAGGAGGAGACCTTCGGTGTCAGGAGGATGTAGAGGGCCGTGGCGGCCAGCAGCACAGTGGCCACAGTGAGAAGAGCTACGACGCACCTGAAGTTCTGAAAGTGTGTGTGTGTGTGTGTGGGGGGGGGAGATCAGTTATATCCAAAGTGGTTTATCTCTTTGAGACACGTGACGACTGTGATGGATTATGTCCCACTTATTTGTTTCTGGTCTGAAGACATTTGTTGTTTTAAAAAGTCAATGAACATGACTTGACCTGATTTGAGTGTGTGTGTGTGTGTGTGTGTGTAACGTACCATCTGTGCTTTACGGTTGGCTTCTTGTCTCCTCCTCTCCACGTCCACCAGCTACAGGCATCAGAAGAATACATGAACACTATGAGGATTGTACACGAGACGATGTTCTTATTTGGAACCACACACAAGCAGGAGAACACTTCATCAGAATACAAACTGCTTCTATATAAACTAATGTTTAAGCGGATATGAAAACGCCGGGAGACACTTTGCCCACAAACCACTGTTGTTTTGTGATTTGGTTGAGCTGACCTGGTCCTGTCTGATTTCCACCACAGTTGAGTTCATGGTGAGTAAAACTGACTACAGCCGTAAATGTGCAAAACTAATTGTGTTAATATTGTTAACTCTGTTAATGACAATGGGATTAAAAGCATGACTAAGAGTGAATATATGATAAAGGGTCACATGGGATGAGCTGTCATCTTACGTTCGGATCGGAGTAACGAGCTCAATGAATCAAACAGAAAGCATTTCCTCTCTTTTAAAATACAGCACAAGTTCTTAAGGCTTATGTATTACTTTTATAATTATAGATTTATTCAACTTTTAGGGTCAAAATAAAGGATGCCAGTCTGAAGTTATAAGGGTTGAAAGGGAAATATTAAAATAGATTTTAAAATGTGGACAAATGAATCCTCACATTAGAGAAGCTTTGCCCAGTAAATGTCTGGAATGTTTTATATGATAAATCATTCACAATCTATACAAAAGGAAGCGTACCTGGTTGTAAGCGACGTCCGTCTTCATTGTGAAAGACAGAATGATTTGATGTCTATCAGTAGTTTCGGCTTCAGGTCAGATTAGGCTCCGCAATTCTAAAACAAACAAACAAGTGGAACAAAAACACACAATGTGTGAGTAAAAGATACACAGCAATCTCAAACACCGTTGTCTCTCCCCTACACACACACACACACACACACACACACACACACACACACACACACACCTCTGCCTAACCTTTACTGACGCGACAAAGAGAAGGCTCTAGATGTTTTCAGAGCCACGGACAGAGAATGACCCGAACATTTCATCTCTAGCACAAAGACACACACACACCGCTTCCAGCTGCTAGGAGCTGAGCTCACAACGAAACAAACAAAAAAAACTGTTTACTGGAATCTGAGGTCTCGTGATTTATGAGGTTCGATTGCTTAAGAGAGAGAGGAAGTATGTAATGCTGACAGCAGCAGTGTGACTTCAGATTGAGGCTTCAGTATCTCTGACTGATGAATGAAAACATTCTGGTTCGGGATCAATCACGAGAGTCTGGAGGTTTCTTAGGTCATGCACATGGAGGAAACAAGCTCTTAACATGTGCAAAATACATTGTTTTTAATCGACTGGATCTTACTTGAAACCGATTTCAAAGAAGACAAAACATTTCCTGCTCGAGCCAAAAATATGCTTTAGTTTGATGCTCTCGTGTAGGCTTGTTGTTTTTAAGGCTGAAGGCAAAAGAAACAGGAAGAGCAGATATTAAGATTATGTGTGGTATTGAAAAACCTGGAAAAGTCTGGAATAATAAATATAGAGCCATTTTTGAAATCTGACATATTTCATATCTACAATTGAAAGCAGCACTCTTGTTGGATAAATATATTAAACAGGTTTTTTTCCTTATGGGATAAATCTAGAAGCAGTAACAGGTTTTTCCAGCACCACATGTAGCTCCTCTTGCATTGAGCTTTATAAAGCAGATGATCTCTTTAATGATATACTATTCAAAGTAAACAAACAAATAAATACAAATAAAGCTCGCAGTGTCTTTGACAATGTGTGCCAAGTCTTTTAGGCCATGCAGTTACCACAGACAGCAGAGGACAGAGAGGGCTTGTGTATCTGTGCAGAGCAACAAATCACATTAACGTTAGTACATAGAACTACAACAAATCACATTGGTACATAGAACTACAATTTAAGAGAGGAACACGTGACACAAGAGTTGTGGCTCAAGTTTAAAGGCAGAGTCACTCTTGCTCAGTTCTTAAATGACCCCAAAACGACTAAGAAAAGTGCAACACGTATTTTGTGAGCTTCAAAATAACGTTAGCTAACACAGGGCTAGCTAGTTAAATAAGGAATGTAGTTAACGTCGGAGCCCCTTTGAAGAGTGGTGGAGATTTAAAGTTATTAATAAAAACACATTAAAGAAGCAATAAGAGACGTTAAGAAAGTTGACAGTACCATATTCATTTTAATAGTACCATAATAATTCCCACTAAAAGGCCGTTACATTACACTGTAACCCCCGACTGAGCAGACGAAGAGTCGCTGACAGTGCAACAACAACAGCAACACAAACAAAGTCTCCTTCAGCGTGTAAAACCGTCAACCCACCTGTCACCATGCGTCCAGGTGAATTAAAGTCCCGCATATAACAGCGTCGACGTCCGTTCGTTACACACAGTCACATTTATGGTTGTTGTTTCATTGTTAAACACACAAAGAACACAGAAGAAGCTCATTCACCGAGCTATTACAGTAGTGGTTGGAAAGACGGGACACAGAAGGGGGGAGAGGGTCATGTGATCCGAGCCGGACAGCCAATTAGAGGGGAGCTGTTGGCGTGACGCAGACAGGCGAGTTACAGTAGTGCAGTTCTGAATTATACCCACAAGAGGCAGCTGTTTATCCGTGCGAGTGATACAAAGCAGGCGCACAATTCATAAAATAAGATAAGGTAAAATAATCCTTTATTAGTGCCACAGCGGGGAAATTTACAGGATTACAGCAGCATACAGTGTAGTGCAAACAAGAGACATAGTAAAAATAACAAAGATCTAAACAAGTATTATAAATAAGTAAATAAATAATAGAACAGTAAAGAATATTAACTAAGTAAAAAAGTAAAAGATTATACAATTAAAAAATATCATATCATCAGACAGAATCATTTTTGTATTGCACAGATTTTAGAGTTGTGTTGCGTGGTCTACTGGGAGCACAGCTGGTTGTGCAGCCTGACCAAGGCAGGAAGGAAGGACCTGGGGAACCTCTCCTTCACACACCGGGGGTGAATCAGCCGGTGGCTGAAGGAGCTGCACAGAGCTGCCAAGGCGTCCCGCATGGGGTGAGAGGTGTTGTCCATCAGGGATGATAGCTTAGCCATCATCCTCCTGTCTCCCACCACCTCCACCGTATCCAGTGGACACCCCAGCACACTGCTGGCCTTCTTGATAAGTTTGTTAAGTCTCTTCCTGTCAGCTGTCGAGATGCTGCTGCCCCAGCAAAAGATGGCTGATGCCACCACAGAGTCAAAGAAGGTCCTCAGTCTCCTCAGCAGATAGAGTCTGCTCTGACCCTTTTTGTAAAGTGCATATGTGTGATCAGTCCAGTCTAGTTTATTGTGAAGACCCAGGTACTTATAAGATCTCACAATCTCAATGTCCATTCCCGGGATGTTCACTGGTACCGGAGGAGAGTGTTTACCCCGGCGGAAGTCCACCACCAGCTCTTTGGTTTTACCAGAGTTGATCTGGAGGCGGTTCCGCTGGCACCATCCTATAAAGTCCTGGTTCAGTTCCCTGTATTCCCTGTCATCACCAGCGGAAATGAGGCCGACGATTGCAGAATCGTCAGAGAACCTTTGCAGGTGGAAGTTAGCACGGCTGTATTTGTCCGGGGTGTAGATGAATGGAGCTAGAACGGTTCCTTATGGGGCCCCCATGCCGCGGGACACTAGGGCGGACTCACACTCCCGTATCCGCACATACTGTGGACGGTTGATCCGGTCAGTGAGGTGGTGGTCCACCCCGGTCTGCTCCAGGTTGTCCCTCAGAAGCAAAGGGTGGGTGGTGTTGAAGGCACTGGAGAAATCGAAAAACATGACTCTCACAGTGCTTCCAGCCTTTTCCAGGTGAGAAAGGCATTATTTAGCAACATTAGCATCTTCTGGTGGGTTCTTTTCATGTCTTAGTGTTTATGCGGTAATCTGAACTACAGCCTTTAGTTTTAACAGATCTGTCGCAAATTCATTGCTCATTAAATCAATTTAACATTTGATTTAATGGATCATGCACTTGTGAGACACCAGTTTTGTGCATAACTGTATTTCTGCTGCAGGTAACCAGGGCCAAGAGGAGTCATCGGGCTTCACTTTAATCTTGCAGCTAATATACAAATGCTATATCTTACCATCTTGAACTCTGTTTAACCTCTTAAGTGTTAAGAAACCACACGCAACAACAATGCCCTTTAAAAAATGTATTTACCCACATTTACTGTAACACATAAATAAAGAACAAGAGGTACATAGAGTTCACACCCACATCAAAATATAAACCAATTCCACTGGAAACATCCTTTTCTCGCGAGTTTGAAAGTGTTGAAACTTGGCATCTCTAGTTCCTGCCTCCTTGTCTTCTCCGGCCTCCGGCCTGTTACCTGGGAATCTAACTCAGCGCTCCACCTGGAAGGATGTCTCCATTCCTAAAATGAATCTGGAGGAGCGAGGAGAGAGGAGGCTTGCCCGGAGGAGCTATAAACGAGGATGCACAGGTGTGCATTTCGGCACCCGTGAGGAATAATCAATCAATCAATCAAACTTTATTTCAGACTCAGAGTGCAGATAAGACAATGGAATAAAATGACATACAAAATAAATATAAAAGTAAATATATAAGTTATGATGAAGGCTGGTATGCTCTTCTGACAGATGAACCATCCCTTTAATTGACGCCGCTTTAAGAAGACTCCGAAACACTCCAAAAACACCTGTGCCTGTCTCCTCGACTCCTCGACTCCTTTCACCTCGCGTCTCTTCCTCGCCTGCTCCGCCCGCATCTCAGGTGGGAGGGACTAAGGCGCTCGGAGATGAGGAAGAGGAGAGGGATCGAGGATGTTCTAACTGAGAAATGAGGAGAGCCCTAACCGGAGCCACAGGTGTGAGTGTTATGACTCAACAGGGGGCGCCACAGTGCAAGTGCAGACTTCAGGATCTCTGAGAGCTTCAGACAGGAGCGATGGGTGGAAACAGAGACAGCAGAGAGGGAGAGAGAGATGATGCATAGAAGGGAGAAGAGACACAGAGTCATGTTTCCTAGTTGTGAAAGCTGCAGTTTGATAAGAGAGAAAAAAGCCAGACTTACAAAGAATTACACACACACACACACACACACACACACACACACACACACACACACACCTTTTTCCTGCCCACTGCATATCTTTTTTAAAATTATTATTATTTTGGAGCACTATAAACATTCGCTTGTAAGCGTGTTTATTTCCACTGCGAGGTGCGTGTCATGTGTGCTTGTCTGTGCAGGCGTGTGCGTAACCATGGAGACCATATCCCAGAATATCCCAGACATTTTTATTCTTTTACAACAGCTTAGGCCGAGTTATGGCGAGGCCATAAATGAAAGCTGACGTGCTTCACTTCCGCAGCAGAGGTCCCTTTCTGTCCTCTCCTAGTCCTCTCCTCTGCTTCATCACAAATTGATTTCTCAATCCTTCTAACTCGTCTCACAGTTCATAGTTGTCCACTTTGAATGTTGTTCCTTTAGCTGTATTTCTATATCTGTGTATGAGAGCGACAAAAAACAAAACAAGAGTTAAAAAACCCTGGTGTGTGTATTCTCACCTGGCCAATAGAAATCATTTTGATTCAGATTGTTGTTCACACAAATGCTGTGTAAGAAGTGAGACGTGTGCTGTGAGGACATCATGTACAACCCAATAGCTACTGTTTTCCCTCTTCTTTTTAATCTACTTCCTGAATCACCAAGAGGTTGCTGATAGCCTACCAACATACTATAAAGTTTTTTTTTTTTTCCTCTTGAGGTCCTTCTTTTTTCCCAGAGTGGGTGTGTTTGTGTCCCAGTGATCCTGCCTCAGGGCTGAACCCGGTGAGTCACCGAGCGGCTACCATGAACTCAACTGTCTTTCATCATTAACACCACTTCCTGTTTTCCATCTCTGTGTAGTTCTGCTTAAAGACGCTGTTTTAGCCCAAACGACTTTACCCATTGCATTCTGGGTAACTGATTCTCGTCTTCGTGGTCTCCAAGTGCTTTAATTAATAATTGATTAAGTATTTCCATTTCTGTGTGAATTCCCCCTATTCACCGCTGTGCCATGATGTCATCCTCTAAGTGGTCCTTGATGGGGATTCAGTTTAAACTTCTACATATTCTGCTAAAAGTCATATCAATCTTTCCTTATTGGGTAAGAATCCAAAAGTGGCTTCTGTGAATGTGACACGTGAAACTAAAATAAGCAACATGATAGATAGCTGCAGGTTAATAAAATTGAATCAAAACAAATGATTCCATAAAAGACCTGTTTACACCTGCAAATGTGTGAGATCATGCAAATAACAACCCACCTGTTTTTGTTTTTTTTGTTTGTTTGTCATTTATTAAGTGAAGAGTCTCTCAAAGGTTTGAGTCCTCTTTTTATGGCTGCGTGGGCCATAAAAGAACGGTGACGTCACCAAAGCCGCTGATCCGATGGTGGCTCAACAGATTTATAGCAGCAACACAGCAACTGTAATATAATAAAACAAAAGATAATCCTTCAGCAGTGCATTCGCTCTTCTTTCTGTCATATTTCTTCATTTTATTGTATAGTATTAAATACTAAAGATCAACTTGAATATCTGCCATTGTTCCTCACTGTTAACTCGTTGAGTTTCATAGTTAAACCTAACTGACTACATGTGCCTCTATCTGGTCAAATTAAACAAAAACGAATCACGGCGAAGCTTAAACCAAGATTGTTATTCTCAGCTCCTGGAAAGTTTACACATTAGTAGTGCTGGAACAATCAATGAAGTAGTTGACCAACTAAAAAATGTTTTGACATTGTTGAGAAGCAATCTAAAATTTAGAGGAGCTTTTTTTCTCCGTTTTATATTATTGTTAACCGAATGTCTTTACATTTTTTGGACAGATGGGACTAAAAAGAACCAACAGATTGATTGATAAAGAAAAAAAATCTTGCATTTATGGCTGAAACTTTGAGTTGATTAATTGATTAGTTAATCAACAGATAAATAATCAACAATAATTTAAATAATAGATTTTTCGTTCCAGTATTTCTTCGGTGCCAGTTCCAGCTTCTCGTTTGTGAGGATTTGCTGCTTGTCTTTCTCCCATGTAATAGTTCATTTTTCACAATTTTCTGACATTTTACAGATCAAATAATAAATAAATTAAACGGCCTGATTCTTCTTACTTCCTGAGTCCTTTCCTAATTTCCTCTATGGAGCTTCTGCAACTTTCCTTTTTTTCTCTCGCTGTGCTGTCACCTCGTTTAAAGGAACATGTACGTCTCTTTTTCTGATCCAGGGTTCATTAAAATAAT